CCTATATTACTTTTTCTGAACCTTCGCTGCAAATTTGGCCAGTTATTGCAAAATAACCCTGTATATAAAAAAATGCGTGAGTGTCGTGGAACACTCGGTTGGAACGAAGTTCCTTGCGTAGTATATTATTATTGATAAACGTAGGTATTATATTATTGATTAACAAATAAAAATAAATGAATTACTAGCGTCTATTAAAATGAAGCGTCATTTGAAATAAAATAATCTTTCTTTCATGGCTAGATAATAAAAAGTGCGAGGGAGATGGATATTATTCCATCTCACTTCCTTATTTCGCAACCAAGGCCGTCTACACTATGACACAAGGGGTCGCGACGAAATTCTTAAAACTTTTGTCGCCTAGCTTCCATCCGCCAAACCCGTACCGTATGATAAAGAACTTCGTATCAAAATCAATTGCTATCCGTTAGGCTCGACCGATTCTGATGAAATGTGTTGTGTGTGTTTGAATGGGTGCCTAAATGGTATAAATTCATTAGGACCCGGTAGGTGGCGCTATCGTCGAAATCCAGAAATCAACCGTGCGAAGGCGAACGGATGAAATTACTTTATTCTCTTTTTAGTTGTCCACAACTGCATCTTTCCCGCTTCCTTTGTTTTGAAGGAGGCTTCGTTCCGTACATATACCATTAAACAAATTTGCGTTTATGATGAGAAAAGTTAATTCACGAAATTGTGTCAAATGTGGTGTTGTAGAAGATACTATTCATATTACGATGGAATGTGAACGGAACGAAGCAAATAGAAAACAATTAGGTTTCGACAAAGATAGTGTTGGATTTTATAATAGTAGGTACTAGCTGGCCCCCGCGAATGGAATTTACTATGATTTCATGGGTTTTTAATTTTTTTGCGCAGAACCCTAATTCTTTTTCTTAAATAAAAGTATCCTAAGTTACTCGTTTTAATATCAGTTATCTGCTAGTGGAAGTAACGTCAAAATCTGTCCAGCCGTTTCGGAGCTTTTTCGGAACAATATTATTAGTACCATATATTTTCATATGCATTAAGTAAAAAGCTGTTATATTAACATTACAAACAGACACTTCAATTTTATTTATTTGTATAGATCAGACAATGATAAATTCACGTAAACAATAATAAAAAATTATCTATTCTTAATACCTATCAATTCTAGTTTATAAAGCTTTCTAGCCTTATCCGACAATGGAAATGCTTAGACACTATTATACAATCCAACACTATTTTTGTCAAAACCTAATAGATTTCTATATGATTCGTTCCGTTCACATTCCATCATAATATTTATAGTATCTTCTACAACTCCACATTTGACACAATTTGGTGAATTCACTTTTCTCATCATAAACGCAAATTTGTTTAATGTAAGGTTTGAGTTTTTTTTTTTGTCTTCTTGTTGGTTGTCAGTTGTTACTTTTTTGCCAGTGTCAAAGTTTGGAGCTGAGATTTGAAGTAAATAAATACTTAAAGACTACACAAAATAATTATTAAACAATTCTGATCGTAACTGGTAGAAAATGATTAACTCTCGAAACACTTTAGAAATATTACAAGTAAATAATCCCACGCCCGAATAACTTGGCTAAGTATTGTCCTCAACACGAAGCCGAACTTAAACCAATCGATATTTTAAAATTTCAAATCGTAAATATCGTTTGACAATGGCGCCGTTATAATAATAACGTTGCTAAATATTTTCGTTTCACTGTGTGTGGTGAGCGGTGTCAATTTTCTAGCTGTGAGAAAATTATCTCGATTCATTGATATTTTAAGATATCTGTTTCATAAACTTGTTTATTAAACTTCTTTTTGGAAGAAAGTTTCACAAGCAGTAGCCTCATATTGGTAAGCGAATAAATCGATAGATGCAGCCACCTCAGGATCGTATTTAGTGGCATTCCTTACGGGATATCAATGTTCAGCAGTGTACTTATGACGGGCTGTAATGATGATGATGAAACTTCCTTTCACCCGACTGTATTTACGCCTGTACTTTTTTTATAGGATAGGGTGACAAACAAGCACACAGTCCTCCTGATGGTAAATGGTTGCTGTGACCCAAAGACATCTACATTTATCCTCAATAAAGAATCAAAATGCAGATGTGTCGTCACCCGTGAGAACTAAGATGGAATGCTTCTTTTCCGGTAAAATGGGTCTCCGGTTCTACACACTCACCATATGAAACACAGCAGTGTCCGGCTGCGATTTTACGCTGGCATTCTGTTAGAGCGTAGTCCTTCCCCGGTCGAGCCGACCCATTCGTGCTACAAATATACTGCTAATATAGCTGCAGCATGGCTCTACCACGTATAAGAGATTCAGGCTTAAAAATATAGGTACTGAACGAGACGGTTATAGCGCTACCTATCGCAAACTATAGGGTATTTCTGGTGTTTCCCAATGTCCCATAGTCGCAAGAACGACACCCATGGGACGAAATGGAGTAATGGAATCTTTTACACCGCTACTACATGCTGACGGTTACGGTTTGTATTATAAAAATATATTTTTAGATAGTAAACATTTAAAGTACTAATTGGACTTCATTGAGTTATATGTACTACGTACTAGAGAAGCCATTCCAAACAAAAATTGTGTCCTACTCTATGTCTTTTGTCTTCGCGCATGCGCGGTAGTAGTAGTCGCGCATGCGCGAAGACTTTAATTTAAAATAAAATAAGATATTAATATAAAATAAATATAAGAATTTAATATAAAATATCTTAATTTAATCTAAACAAACATATTTCTAAATAAAATGTAATAATAATTATTTTATGGAATTCACAAATCTTCAATTTACGCAATATTTAGTTTGTATAGATTGCACTACAGTTCAGTTGAACATAGTCAATGTTCGGAATGGCTTCTCTAGTACGTAGTACATATAACTCAATGTTGGACTTACTTTCTGTCTATGAGTATTAATATATAGTTGATATCGTCTCCGTTTATACCAGTTAGTTATTTATTTTAGTTATTTTATTTATTTTAGCCGCCAAGCAGGAGATGTGTATCAGTATGAAGAGTATAGATAGCCAGTATAATTAATTACAGACTGTTTTCCATGTTAGTCTTCAACTGTGACACCGAATCTAGTCTTGCTTGCTACTGGGCACCCCATGGAGTACAGTAGCCACTTACCATCAAGTGGGTTGTATGTTTTTATGTCACTCCAATTTTGTATTAAAAATGTCGTATTGTACAAACGGGCTATGTTTTACTGGATAAGTAACTACAAAATACAGTTTATATTTTACAAAAGCTGTTCTCCGCGACTTCGTCCACCTGGAATTTATTACGATTTCATGGGTTTAAATTATTTTTCACGAAACCATAATTCTTTTTCTAAAACAAAAGTAACCTAAGTTAGGTACTAATTGTAACATCAGTTATCTTCCAGTGAAAGTCCCGTCAAAAACAGCCATTTCGGAGATTAGGAACAAACAGACAGACTAAACAAAATTTTAAAATCTGTTTTTTTTTTGTTACAAGTATCGTATATATACTTTCATATGCATTTAGTAAAAAGTTGTTATTTTGACATTACAAACAGGCACTTCAGTTTTGTTTATTAGATTGGATTGGCACTCAATAAATCGCGAAACAAATAATCGTGACCATCGAAAACGCTTTAAAAACATTAAGAAAAATTGAAAGATGAGGGGAGGGATAATAAGTTAATTAATACATTTTTTTATAGGATAGGGTGACAAACGAGCACACAGTCCACCTGATGGTAAGTGGTTGCTGTGGCCCATAGACATCTATATCTATCCTCGTTTGCGAATTAAAATGCAGATGCTTTGTCACCCGTGACGATTAAGATGGAATCCCTCTTTCCAGTAAAAAGGGTCTCCGGTTCTCTACTCTCACCAATCACCATACGAAACACTGCAGTGTTAAGCTGCTATTTTACGCTGGTATTCTGTGAGAGCGTGGTCCTTCCCCGGTCGAGCCGACCCATTCGTGCTACAACTATAGGTACTACTAATATAGCTGCAGCATGGCTCTAACAAGTAAAAGTTTTTTAATGCGTATCTACAAAAAGAAAAGTTTTTATTTGCATGTATAAAAATATATACCTAAAAAACGGCTTTATTTCTTTGACAATTCGGTGACGACATGGTTAAAAAGTTTAACTAGGTATGTGTCTATAATTAAAAAAAACTAACCACCGTAATCACGAATGTCAGCAGAAATTAATTTCAATTATTAACTTTTTTTTTTGTTTGTTTCATTCACCCATGAAAATTTCAGGCCAGCAGTGTTGAAACAAGTCTGCGGAACATCATTGTGTGATAACAGCTTTAAAACTTTAATAATATAATTAAAGTAGTACCTATTTATTGCCAATATTAAATGTAAATTAAATACACCCATATTATATAGTATCCGTGTGATAAAACAATTGGCAAATATACCAAAATATTTGGGTGTAATTAGTACCTACATAGTTCTTTGTTATTTTATACAGATCTACGCTACGTCAAGAATTGTAGGTATGTCTTTTTTTTAAATTACATATCTTCAATAAACTACCTTCGTTATTATTTTGTAAGTCGGAGTAAGTTATTTGTTATTCGACTAAATTTTATGGTTGATAATGAAGCAATCTTAATATAACAGCTCGTTGGTGGGTAATATTTTGTATTTTAATATTTTAGTGAGTCGGTTTACCTTATACTATTACTATATTTATTCTGTGTTTATTTACCTTTTTGGATAGGCGTCCTTTAAAAATTTCGCATGAATGCATTTTTAGCAAATTATAAATATGTTAAAAGAATACTTGGTTCTTAATTCACATTTTTAATTAAGTAAATGCTTTATAGTAGCTACTGAATGTAGGTAGGTACCTACTTGAAACAATATTTTAAAAAGAAAAAAATGCATTTAAAAAAATGTTCAAAAATATCATTTTTATTTTTAACAGTCTTTTATGATGTTATCAACTATATTTTACCGTATAATTAAAGCTAGTTAAATCTTACCTTATATTTCATTTTGATTTATTTTGCTCCTTCAATCAATACAAACACTATACAGTATATTTTAAAACAGATATTGTGTTAACTATTTGAAATAAAAACTATTTTTATGTTAAAAAATTCGATAGTAAAAAAAATATCGTCAAAATGTTTTCGCGCCGCGCCGAGGCAAAGGTAACCGCGCATGCGTCCGCTGCGGCTGCGCGTTAATGGTCGCGCTGCAGCCATCTCGGCGGTTTTGCTTCCCCGCCATCGCGGTACAACGAGCAACGACCCAAGCACTAACGTAATTTTGCCAACTTTTGGCAACGGAGGTACGACATTCGTCCCAGTTTGGCTAACCCTCAAATTTTTAACCGGCTTCAAAAAAGAGGAGAATGTTCTATGATTTTATTGTATGTTTGTGGTTCGATGTTTTTATTGTGTATCTGTCACCCGTGAGGACCAAGATGGAATGCCTCGTTTCCAGTAAAAAGGGTCTCCGGTTCTCTACACTCACCATACGAAACACAGCAGCGTTAATCTGCTGTTTTACGCTGGTATTCTGTAAGAAGGTGGTCTTCCCCCAGTCAAGCCAACCCATTCGTGCAACAACTATACTACTAATATAGCTGCAGCATGGCTCTACCACGTAGGTAGACGCTATTTTATCCAAAACTCATTATTATAACAGTTACTCGACTCCAAAGGTCAGTAATTCCTTCATGGGGCAATGTAAACGCCATTACAACAAAGTCCCAAAATATATGCAGACCTTATTAAAAAGTTTAAAATTTTTACTGAACCAAAATTGTTTAACAGGGGTTGTTACAAGTACTACTAAAGTGTAAATGATTGATACATAAGTAACCCCTATGAATGAGGTCATCGTTACCATGACGTTTCTAAATGTTTTCATACTACATAATACATAAACACTCACGCCTGTCACCCAGAGGGGTAGGCAGAGACTACGGACTTCCATTTGGCGCGATCCTGACACACCTCTCTCGCCTCTTTTACATCCATATATCTACGCATACACGCTCGTCGGTTAAGGGTACTCCTAATCTGGCCCATTTTTAATGTATTGCCGATTTGGTCGATAAACCTTCGTCTAGGGCGTCCCTTCCCGACCCTGCCGTTCACTTCTGCAACATAAATTTGCTTTGTCACTTCTTTTTTTTAAATATCATATTTTAAATTTTTTTTTTATAAGTCCCGCTGGGTTTCTTGTCGGTTCTTCTCTTTCCGGTACAGAAGTTTTTTCTGAACCACTCTTAAAACTTAAATGACTTTTAGACACTGATTTTGTCAAGAGTGCTGACATTTATGATATGTTAGATGTGATATTTACACATGTATGTTAAGATATAAGTAATTTATTTTTTTATAATGTAGAATTCATTTTTTTGTTTTTGTTAATTTCATTATAAAGTAGAAATAAATAAAAAAAACTAACCGAACAAGCAACATTAAAATTCATCGACACAGTAACAATGTTTTAAATTGCAGTCTAACATTAACCGAAATTGAATTGCAATAGTATAATTCTAAAAGCACACAGTCTTAACTTGGCTGGACATTGCTGAGAATAAGAACTAGAGTTGTCTTTTCCACTGAAACCTCCATTCGAATCTATCCACAATAAAACTAAGATATTTGTATTTTCCAATTGGACCTAGCTCTAAAGACGGTGTTATAAATTGTAACACCGTACACTGGTCAACGCACTTCCTCCGATACAAACAACAAACTTCGCTAAGGTGAAGGTGAAGTCCGTTGAAATTGGTTGTCGACACCGCTGCACTATTTCGATAAACTCGCTAATGGCCGTTTCACTATTTCAAGCGTATGTCCTAATCCCAGTTCAACAGATTAAAAACACTATCTTTATTGCATTGAATTTCGACAGAGTGCATTATATAGGAAATAGAAATAAAAGTATGGGATGTAATGAAAGATTTTTTTTTTAATTCGTCACTCCGTAGATTCGATTTTCACCCGCATTGTGGGGGCGTTTTACAAATATTAATTGCACACGGACAAACATCTGAACCCTGAACAGTTTTCGTCCTTAAGACCAAGCATTCAGCGCTAATTAAATATGTATACTTAGTATTATTTTCATTCTTCATACAGCAACAAATTTAGTCTTCTATTTTTTTTATTTTATATTATTATTTTGTTTGTTTATTTAATTTTGTAGCTAGTTATTCCCAGGACAGAGGTTTTTTTCGAACCAGTGGTAATTAAACAAAAGAGTGACTTTCAATAAGTATTTATTTTAATCTATATTGAATTAAAAAGTTTCTGTATCTGTTTCTTGGTCATGTGATAAAGGATGTAAAAAAATTATTTTAAAGTAATACTAAGTTAGTACATTGTATTGCCAGATAACAGTTAACAGTTCATTTAGTGTCTAACCACCAACAATGAATATCCCGTTGTTCCGCGGTTTGCATTTCATAATTATAGGCACCGAGTGAATACAATAACTTGCGGCGTAACAATTTTTAATACCGAATGAGAGATGTTGCATCCCTTTGCACAATCTATCGTATCTACCACGGGAAGTGTTCGGGTATTTCCTACCACCAAATTTCACCGTCGCAAATGGCGGCAATATTTGCTATACCATCCATGTAAATGCTTGGGTAAAATACTTTAATAGAAAATAACATTTATTAAATAAAAAATATACAATTATATATTATTACATAGAAGGCAAAATGACAAGAGTTGTCATGCATGCAGATCAAGATGGAATGTCTGACAGTCTGTAATCATACCTACTGCCTATTAATCCTTGCCGCTTGTTCCTCGCTACGCCCTATCTTTCTTGTACTTTCTGTCTTCTTTATCAGTCCGTTAAAGTACACTACTGGACATGGGCCTCTCCCATTGTAGGGAGGTTTTACCTTAATAGCAACTTCAACACTGCCACCCGTCGCGAAGTCTGATTATTAACTCCATCGCCATATATCATAAATAAAATTTTTTGGTTTTCCCCACAAACATCTGTTACAACACCCACGAGACGAAATTGTGATAAAATTAAAATAAAATGTTCTGAAATTGTTAGTAAATAAGCGCAAACCAGAGATATTAGACCATTTATTCAAAAATCCGTTTTTATTTTTTAAATAGTGATGTGTACAAGTTCATATATACCGGTGAAATACCGGTTTATATGAACTTGTTACTGTGGTTTATATTTTTTAAATACCGGTACTTCACGTCTATACTGCAAGCTATAGCAAAACGATAATAGGGCTCTATAATGCTGCCAAGTGTTTTGGCCATCAATGTTCTAAAAATACACGTTTTCAACGTGGTAGAGCCATGCTGCAGCTATATCAGCAGTATAGTTGTAGCACGAATGGGTTGGCTCGACCGGGGAAGGACCACGTTCTCACAGAATACCAGCGTAAAATAGCAGCTTAACACTGCTGTGTTTCGTATGGTGAGTGTAGAGAACCGGTGACCCTTTTTACTGGAAAAGAGGCATTCCATCTTAGTCCTCATGGGTGACGACGCATCTGCATTTTGATTCTTTATTGAGGATAAATGTAGATGTCTATGGGTCACAGCAACCACTTACCATCAGGTGGACTGCGTGCTAGTTTGTCACCCTATTCCTATAAAAAAAAAACACTAAGAAGCTAGTTACAAAACTAACTATGCTCTCGACAACCAAACAGACATCGTGGTTACTTGTTGAGATGAAATTAAGCATCAATATCAATCAATCAATATATTCTTTACTAAACACCAATACACATTAGAACGAGACAAAATGAAATAAATATATAGAAAGTACAATAATCAGTCTTATCGCTTTGGAAGCGATGTCTTCCAGACAACCCTTGTTTAGCAAAGAACTGTTGTTTACAGCGAATTGCAAATAGGGAAGGTGTACATGAATTTGACAATAAAGTTAAAAAAATATTATAAATATATAAATACACACAAAATGATGACGGTTGAGGATAGGTAAGATAGATACAGTTAAGGACGGGAATTATGATGGGAAATATTAGAGTTCCAAACAATAAGTTTTGAGTAGATTTTGAAGGAAAAAGGGACTGAACACGTCGAATATATAAAGGCAAGGAGTTCCACATGCGTACATCTGTAGCCGAAAATGATTTATTGAAGAAGGAGGATGAAGGTGCTGGAATACGAAGTGAAAAATTGTTAGTGGTACGTAGATGACGATCGTGAGAGGATGAAATGATTTCAAAGCAGTCTTTCAGGTAACGTGGAGTAGAGGGATTGAACAGTATGTTATATAAAGCAGAAAGAATGTGAAAATTCCTGCAAAGGCGAATCGGCAGCCACTTGAAACGTTTACGAAATTCTGAAATGTGATCATATTTAACGGAGTCCAAATAAGAATAGTAAGCATAAATTTTGAATTCGCTCAAGTTTAGTTAGCTGCACTTCGGTGACCTCCAGATAACAAACATCAGCATAGTCAAGAATAGGCAGAAATAGGGATTAAGCAAGAGAAACTTTAGTGGCAATAGGGTGAAAATTTCTAAGTCTCCGCAGAATGCTTAGTGTTGCAAACATTTTCTTTTTTTAAGCATCTTAATTCTTTACAAAAGTTGGCATTTAAATGTCTATGCGTTCCTGATTCTGACACTTCATTACTTATCCTAAATGAGCCTATCACGACTTACGATATTTTTTAAAAAACCAGAAGGCAACCGATCACATGGCTCACTTGATGGTAAGTGATTATCACCCATGATCATCTGCAACATCAGCCTTTTAGAAAAGATTAGCGTCCTTTATAAAGTAATTAAGTCATATCGGTCTAGGTTAAACCACCACAGTGGATATCTTCGAGAAGATGTGGATGGAATTAAGTTTTATTTTATGTTGTAGAGTTTAGCAGCTGGAATTATACGAAACAATTCCTCGGAAGTAACGTCTTCCGTATGGTTACTGGATATCGTCTACAATTAGAGCCGTTTTCTGGTAAATGGTACTTGGGTGCCCGGATCAAAAATAAAAACAGTATTCCATATGAGACTAAACCCGACTGATCATTGTAAAACTGCAAGTGGTGAGCCAGCATGAAAATTCCGTCTCACTTTACTGAGCACACCTACCGTTTTAGAGGTCTTAACCTTCCCATTCAAGTGACTGCGGAACCGTACGTCACACGATATGTCAACGCCGAGGATTCCGATACTGGCTGACGCAACACGTGCCCTCAAA